ATATATATATATATATATATATATATATATATATATATATATATATATATATATATATATATATATATATATATATAATATATTTAAATGGATCATGACTCTGTCCAGTCTTTATAGATTTCCATTTTGTTTAGTTCACTCCATTCAGGAGGGCCTTTGTAAAGTAAATGGACAGTGGAAGGGAGGGAAATAAGAAAAAAAGCTACTTCTGCTAACCCCTTTTTGGCACGCTGACACTGGATTTATATAATATTAAATCTGTCCTCTGTACTCTCTCCAAATGTAAAGACTTGTTCTTTTCCTCATGCAAATGTTAGTGATGGCTGCTTCCCCAATAGTATTAAATGGTCAACAATCCTTCTCTGTGTGATTCCTGATTTTGTATCTCAGTCCCGATGCATTTGCACTGGTCTTTCACTAGTCCATTATTAAAAATGAACCCATCTAAAACCCCATCTTTTAAGGATGCATTTAATTAATTTACAAACAATTTATGGCTGGAAAATGGTTCTATTTTACTTTTCTTCCTCTGCCTACTTAATGCATCTTGCAATATAGACTGCTTTCAAAAGTGTCTGACCTGGAAGTTATAAATCTCAAAAATAAACAAGGGATGCATTACATTTATAACTAATTTGAAATGGGATAAAAATACAGTACAATGCTGAGGAGACAATGATCAAATTCAGTAAAAACCAGGAAACTATTAATTTAATACCATATTTTGAGGAAGTATAAAAACGAGGGAAAACAGCTTTTTTGCTCAATCTAGTTTTCTTTGTATCCACAATGTAGTTAATTGAGCAATGTAGGCTTTTTAGAAATTGCCTAACTGAAAAACAACTCACACATTTTATAGCTGATAGTGTGTCATGTTAGTGTGCTTCCTATTTCTCAACTTTTGCCCTCTATTCTTTTATGTTTAATTATTTACCTTCAATGAAAGCTGCTATTTGTTGGCTTTTTTGAGAAGGAAGTTCTCTGACAATCTCCAAAGCGGTCAAGCCTCTGTTATCCTTTATATTCACATCAATGCCTTCAACACAAAGAGAAACTTGACATTATACACAGTAATTCAGGAACATTAAGAAATGTTGCATATACTCACATAGCAAAATGTGGTATAAATAGAACTTGGCCTTAATCACTTCCTGCTCCTAAATGTACATTTTGGCCCTACATCGATGTTCATTTATTGTTGTTGTTGTTGTTGTTGTTACTATTATTATTGGTTAAAGCTGCCCTTATGCCATATGAAGGCTCTTAATTTTAGAAGAAACATTTTTAATTTGGGAAGTGCTTTTATTTTAATTATAATTTTAAGACAAGTATATTTTATTGTATTTTTAATAAGAAGCAATTAAGCCTATACTTAAATGAAGCAGAATAGGAATACTTAAAATAATAAAGCAATAAATATGTTAAATTATAACTTACAATTCAATTGTAGTGAAAGCAAATAATAATTTCAGAAGGGAAATGAATATAAGTTCTTCGAGTATACAACCTCCTGATCTCAATATCAAATTAGAGGTTCTAGCAATTCCTGCTTAGCTCTTATTAATTTTACTAGTTTATACTAAACATTCATGAGGCTTTAGCTTGAAGAAGTTTAAACAGGAGGGTGAAAGATTCAAGTTAAATTATGTTGGTCATTCTCAAGAACTATGCTAAGGCTGCTGAATGTTTACAACAGACCACCAACAAAAATAGGAAATCTAAAAATATGTTTAAAAGATCCTCACCTGCAGCTAGCAATATCTGTACCACATCTGTTTTGCCAAACAAAGCAGCTTCATGCAAAGCACTACCTTTTTCTGTCTGTAAAACAAGTATGGGTTGAGAATACCATCAGAAAACAATAAAAGTGTATGTCCAGGTTCACAAACTGAAGCTATTTGTTGCAGTGTATTCCAACTTAAATCAGCTTCTTTAAAAATACAGGCTGATCACTCTAATCAATCAATGAGAAATTACAACTAATAAAAAACTGTATTTAATTTGAATTTTATTTAATTTGAATTTAAAACAGAAAAGACAATATCCAGCTGAAAATACGGGATTTAAGCACCAGAAGTTTTCTAGCTGACAATTAGAAAAAGCCTAGATTTCTAGAGTAAAACAGAATCCGCTAAACTTGAAAGAATTTGAAAGCATAATTCTATTAAATTTCAAACTTAACATGACTTCAAAATAAATGTATTTAACAATCTTTTGTATTTGTTGGGATTATAGGCTGCTTCAATTTGCCAATTCTAAGCAGCATATAATTGGGATATTAAAACATATGATGAAATAAAACAGTGAATAGAAAAGTTCTTATTGAACAGGGAGCTATAATACTAAATCTGATCCTGAAACATTACTTTAATGTTGAAACTCCACACACAAAATTTTAAACAAATACCTGGTAGTTGTTATCCATGCCAGCCTCCAGAAGTACATGAACTACAGCTTTATGGCCATTTCTAGCTGCCAGATGTAAGGGAGTGTGTTTCTTAGTATTGCAACTTAATAGATTAGGATGAGCATTAAGTAACATCTTCACAACCTCTAGTCTCCCATAGAGAGCAGCTAAATCAAGAGGAGTCTCAAACTTGTTATTGCGCATAGTAGGATCAGTCAACTCCTCCAGAAGAACCTTCACCACTTCTGTATGGCCATACTGAGCTGCACAGTGCAATGCTGTCTCATTGTCGTTATTCTAAGATTACATAAATATAAAAACCATTAGAGTTTAGAGACAATTATAATAAAGATAACATTTATTTTAAATATAAATGTATTAAAACTGTTTCAATTCTTTTCTACTATGCATGCAGTGGCATAGTGAGTACATCATGGTCCCATTGTTATTTATATGTACATATGCACACATGCAGACATTTGCTAGAGAAAAAAATAGATAAAATATCTATTATTGCATTTTGAGATTAATATTACTTATACTGTTCTATAATTTTTTTCACTTTTAAAACTCACCAAGCATTACTTATCCATTCAATAAAAGTTACTACAAACTCTACAAACGTACATTTTGCAAGCCAACAACTTGATAATAAATCATATTTCATGACTGTGTTATTTCTCTCTGGAGAATTCACCTTTTATTAACTAATCTGACACTATGTTGTTATTATATTTTATTTTTATTTTATATAAAGGGCCACTGCTATGAGTAATATTATCAACTTATAGAAACTAATTATATGTCAAGAAACAGCTCTTTCATGTGATCAAATGCTTTTTTGAAATTGGACTTCATATCGGGAAGTCATTGAATTATAAAATAGCATTGGGTTAAACGCTACGTGAAAACCTAAGTACTTTAAGATTCTAGCTGATAAGTAAATGAACACAAAAATTCTATTCAAACTGTTACTGTATTTAACCATTTAAATGGTGTGTATGTGTGTCTGTGTGTAATTATAATGGTTAAATATACATAAACAAAACTCTGGCTTCACAGAAACATTTCAATTGTTTAAAAAGTAAATAAATTAGAACTTTACAAGTTGTACTATACTGGACAAAATATAAGAGAGGTTCATTGTGATTTATTTTTGTTCTAGCAGTATCAATAATGTTCAATGTCTCATGGGCACCTGACAAAACTAGCTGAAACAGAAAGGAAATAGATGAACAGTCAGAGTGCTTTACATAAAATACATGGAAAGTACAAGTGAACGTTATTATGAACAATGACAGACATGCACAAACATTTGAAAAATTGAGGAAGACACTTCCAACGATGGCAAAGAAACAATTCAAGCCAAACACATTTGCCAAGGAAAAACAGATTTATAGTGAAGGTGATTTTAAATGAGGTAATGCATCATTCAGCAGCTTGCAGAGAATCTCACCATGAATAGAGGGAAAAGCATATGGTTCAGGATTTATAATTAAAATGTAGGGTTTAATGAAAGATCATGAAAAATCGTGGTATCTTCTGGCCACATTATATTACAAACTATACATAATGTACCACATCAGTAAACATCGGGGGGGGGGGGAAACATCAATTGGACTAAAGATAGTTCTTGGCTAAATTGAGCTCAAATCCTAGGGATTTTATGGACATATACATACAGAGTTTTGACCAAACACAAAAGTGTTTTGCCACTGCCTTTTTCCAAGATTTTTTTCCAGTTGCATAGTCTAACCTACAGCCCTAGTATTACCTGGCCCTTTGTTATCCCAGCAATAACTAGACTTACTTGTGGGAGAAACAAGGCTAGTCAGGTGCTGCTACCTATTTGTTGTACTCTGCATATTATGTAACTTCCAGTATTAACAGAAGAAATATAATTTACAGTATCTTAGTTTATACAAGGTTAATGCACAAATAATGACTGAATGGGCAGGAACGAATTTTTTAAAAAGATTAATATGATTAATATCTTATTGTTGTCATCAACCACTCATTTGCCTTTTAACCAAGTCATTAATTAGACATTTAAATCTGCTGGCCAACAACATCTGAAGATATAGGCACTTCTGAAATGCAAAATTTTATAAATCCTTATAAAGCCCAGGTTTGATTTCAAGTTTGTGGCAAACAATTATTTTTATTTATTCTAATAATTTGGATGCCACCTCTTACAACCAGTGTAATCTGTGCTGTTTAGATCCAGCTGTGCATCCAAATAGCTGCACATTTGACAGGACTTAAATCTGAAGAATCTTCATTAATAGGATGAAATTGCTACTCCTTAAGAGGATGGCTTTGATGGCTCCCCGATTCTTTCAAAAGCTTTAGCCTATTAATGCAAAAATCTTACAGTCCAACTGAGATTTTTAAAAAGCAAGCCTTTTTGAAAATGCCTGAGACTGATTTCTGTAATTCTTAAGAGAAAAAGGAGAAAAGAAATGGTAACATCATCTCAAAATCAAAACAGTGGTCTGCAGCTTAAACAGCTCTTATCTTGCCCCCTGATCCATTTATCTTGAAGACTAAGGAATGCTTTTCATGGATATATGAACTAACAGTTGCCAATGTATACGTGATTTGCAATTGGTACAGTACAAAACTCATAATTTGTATGTAAAAGCACTAAATATTAAACAGAATCCCATAAAACTGAGACCGTAATCACAATTGGCAAGCCCAACGAAACTCTAGGAAGAAATAGTTGAGGGAAAGAAAACGGCGACTTAAATTGAGGTAATTTTAACTATATTAACTCTAGAAAAAATATTTCCAATTCTAATGTATGATCACATAATGTTTTTATGTATCATGGGCCTTCTTCTGACAGTCAGGCCAAAGTTACCTTTTAACTATAAACATATATAATTCAATTGGGGGAAAATGCACAAATACTGTGTCTAATTACCAATTTGTCAAAACCCACTGTCTAACTCATCTATACTGAAATGCCTGCTGTCGCAAAACTAAACATTCATAAGCATTTTTCCTAGTTGTTTTTTTTAATAAAACTGTGTGCCTTATAAAAAATAGCAAAAATCTCTGTATTTGTGGACACAGGTCTTCAAGTCAGGATTGACTCCTGGCAACTGCCTGGACAAAACTCCCAGAAGTTTTTTAAACAACATTTTAAAAATGGTTTGCCATTGCCTACTTCCTAGGGTTGATAGAAAGTGACTGGCACAGCATCCCCAGATGATCTTGGCCCTAAGGTGGGATGACAACTCGCAGTCTTCCGGTTTCTAGCCTGATGCCTCAAACTTTATACCAAACTGGGTCCCAACCCAACCAAATGTTTGGTGAAATAAAAAGCATCATTTCCAGTTAGTTCAGAATACCCCAGTCAGCCTTGGGAATCTGGGAGTTGAAGTCCACACATCTTCAAACTGCCAAGATTGAGAAACATTGATCCAGTATATGGAGAAGATCAGCATGATTCTCAGAAGTATTGTTTAAAGTAACATATTTTATTATATCGTCATTTCTATGCTGTTTAGCCTTCCAAGTGAGCTTCGAGGAATATGCTTCTTAGGCTGGATTGGTTTAAACATTTGATTTTAATGGTATTCATTAATTGAAAATAATACTAAGCTACAAAAGACTTAGAAAATAGCCTTGCAGAAACATATTAATCTCACTTTCATCTTCAGCATTTTTAAGATTTAAAATATATTTTATTTAAAAAGACACTGATGCTCTCTCCTCCAGATTTCCAGAGGGATCTGGCTTGGTGGAAACAAAACAATGAATGAGCACTCTTTCTATATCTTCACCTTGCTGTTGCTGGTGTTTCCACTTAAGATTGCAGAGAATAGAACAAGGGACATTTTTGTGTACTTTTGGCATTTTAATGTTTGATATATAGCCTACTTAGATGATGACTTATAGATCATGTTTTTTGCTTCCACCCAGAAAGGAAGACCAACTAAGAAATCATTTAAAAAGCAGCATAAACTCTATACTGCAAAGAAAGTGGCTGGAAATTAAATGTGGCTAGAATGACATTTGCCTGAAATAATTACTATATTAAAATTTAACTTCATTCAGTTTGGTACCACTTAAAGATTGCTTTTCTAGCTAAATGATCAAATGCTTTGTGGATCATAATTTGTAACATTTTATCATGAGGTGTACATTACAATGGGTCATACAGTATTTGATAATTTATAGAAATGTATGACTCCTAACAACATTCTTTTTCATTTAATGGAAAAATGTATCATCAAGAGTATCTACTTTTTCTTGTTTCTGGAAATCTAAGATATATTCACAAATAGATACTGACTTATTATTATTTATCTGTGTTACAGATTTTTTTAACACCATGCAAATTAAAAATGACAGTTTGGAAATTTTTTAAACATCTATTCAGACACAGAGAACTAGTTTTAGAGTTCTTTGGATTCCAGTTTTGGTACTTAAATAAATTATACTTTTTAATGTTCTAACTTATATACAGATAGCCAAGACAATCACAAATTTCATAAATTTCCTAGCTAAATATAGATACACATTCTGCAATAAAAATCCATTACGACAAAAGCGATTATACTCCTTCGTTCAGGTGCAAATATTTCAACTATTATAGTAAAGAAATATATGAATATATATGTATATATATGAATTATGAAAAAGAAAATAATTCAATCAATTATTTAAATTAGTATTTTCTACTGTGATTTTAAAAACGTTTCAGTTTCTGATTTAAATGTCTAAGCACTTCAATTTCAGCTTTTACCATTGGGTTGATCTACTTTAGACTGAAAAATATAGAGACAGAATATGGCTTCTGAAACTTCCTTAATGTCCAAAAACTATCATAGACATATAGGTAAAACTGAGCAGAGTGATGCTGTAATCCTCACCAAAACTTGTACATTATGAATCTTAGTACTGTACAGACTATAATTTACCATATCAAACATTAATGTTTACTCTACATTTACAGACTATATTCACTGCGGTCTGAATCTATAAAAGCATGTAATTTAAACTAATTCACCCTGTTTATCTCCAACTCTGATAATCTTAATATATTTAAAACCACACCCATGGAGCCCAATTTGATTTGGACCTTAAAAATCAATATATAAGCTAATCCAATATGATGGTCTAAAAATTAAAATAATTAATTTACAACGAACATTTATTTTTAGATTCATTATAACAAGGAATCATTTAAGATATTTCTAAATATTCTATTAGATTATCTGTTAAGTAATTTAAGATTATTTTCAATATTTTCAGATTTGCTTTTCTATTTTTCTTATGATTATTAGAAGCAGAAGGATATAGGCCATATTCAGTTTAAGAGAGAATCAGATGTGAAAAAGGAACTAATGAAATAAGAAAAAATGAACATACTTTCACACAAATGGATACATGCATACATCCACATAGACAATAAAAGCATTATTGTCCTCATCCAAGCACTAACAAAAATAGTTCTGTGTTATGTAGCATCATTACTATTAGCAAAATGAATTTCAGTATTGCTAAGAATGCACACTTGTTTTGGATAATATACCATAAACATAATCAGTATTATTCCCTTTCTTATTAAATAGGGAAACAATACCAGAATGTTTTGAAATTATATTTTTGAATGCTATTACTGCTTTGGGAATCAACAAGTAACCCAAATCTACCAAGTAGAAAGCACTGGTAGACCTTGTTAACATCAAGTAAACTTTTACCAACCAGCCAAATCAAACATGGCTTAATACAAATATCACATTAAAGAGATAGGCAGTATCAATGAACTAGATGACAAGGCTTCTGAGAGCACAAAAATACAACTTGGAGTAATGATACAGTGAAATCCTGTCAGCAAAGTACACACCTTGGCATTGATATAGGGGTCAAAGGGGCCGTACTTTTTGAGTTCTTTGATCTCAAGAGCATTCTACAAAAAGGAGAGGAAAAGAAAATGTGATGATGAAATGGCAGGATATAGTAAAAAAGCAGTGAGTGATTCTGAAGGGGAGAAATGATAGAACATGACAATATTTCATTCCAATGAAAAGCAATCAAGTAAACTAGCCATTCCAGCTGTCAATAGTTGATCATGCATATTGTTTTAAAGACAACATGCAAAGCTCAACTAAAAATCTTAAGTTCTCTATTTAACACTTCACTATGACATTTTACAAATATTTGGCCTCATGCTAGCTATAGATTGCAAGAGCCTTCATTTTCATATGGCCCCATCCAATTTATTAATGAATTGCAAATGGCATTGTAAAATTTAAAATGTTAACAATAAAATGATTGGCAAAGTTTTTTTTCCTAGAAGCACAATAAACAATATCTGACAAAAAAGATTTCCAAACAATATTATTAAAAACTTTGAATGTGTACATTTGGCTATTCATTCACAAAAAACATTACTAGTCAGCAAATGAACTTCTTTGAATATTTGTAAGAGACTATGCTAAGCTACTTGTTAACACAGGTAATAAGCCTCACAATCATGGGTCTGTTATAATTTTACTTTCCACAAGAAAAAGGTTATATGGACAATAGACCCCTGGGGCCTCATTCCTGGTGATGCCTTCTATGATATAACTTACAGCTGGATACCCAGTGCTCCTCAACATTATTGGCCTTCCAAAGAGCTCTGAAAACTTTACTTTTTAGAAATGCATTTGTGGAAGTGGAGGTTTAGCCTACCTCCATGGGTGTCTGTTAAATGTCTGTTAAATGTTTTATGTGAGATAAGTGTTTGATCCTTTGTTTTGGCTTTCTGTAAGCTGCTTTGATTTCTGGGAATATGTATTCAGCAGCATAGATGTCTTAGTAAATAAATACATACATACAACTAAAAGGGAAGTGAAATAATTTCATGAGAAAACTCACTAGTATTCCCAATATTTCTCTTTCTCCATATACTAGTCCCGGTTTAATTTGGAGCAATACTGTAAAAGTTTACCTGGTCTTGATACCAATACTAGCACTATGAGGTGTATACAGTATGTCTATCCATGTACACAAGAAAGTTTTCAATCATACAAGTCAAATGGCAGCATTTTAAACAACAGAAACAATTGCTGTTTTTCTTCCATTTGAGCACAGCATTTTAGTAAATTAATTATTAATATCTGAAAGCTGTATTGTAGTTAACTGCACAAGATTAGCTTACTAAGCATAAGTAGTAAAGCAGTATAAACTAACTACAAAATATGGCAAAAAGAGAATAAAGCTGTTTAGATTTGCTTCACCACAGAAATAAATGGATGCACCAACGTCAAGTTTCAAATTGTGCAGAAAATTGTGGCGTAGGATGGGGGTGGGGTATAGGAATAATGGTTAAAATTCTCCCGTTGTATATGAACCAATTCAGCCATTGTTGATTTCTAAGTTCTCAATCTGATCAACCAAAAATACAGCTTTCAGGATACAATTTTTCAAATTTGCTGAACAATAATAGTATTTAACCTTTAGCCATTTCTCAAGCAAGATGTCAAACAACAAATTCATTCTTGTAGATGCTGTATTCACCCCCTTCTATGGAATAACACAACAAACCATTTAAGATCATTAAGAGCACAAAAAAGGAACATATTCAGACCTGCTCATTTACTTTAGTGTGGGAGGGTCCCTGGTGTATTAGCAGTTTCACTATTTCAGCATCTCCCTTCCAAGCTGCCAAATGGAGAGGATAACAGCCTTTGCAGTCAGCCACATTCGTTAATGCATCATTTCTCAACAGAACTTCCACAACATCCCTGAGGACGGAATAATGCCATGAAATTTCAGAAGAATTTTGACAATCAAAATCAAATAGTAAATTGGATACATTTGTTAATAAGAATATCAGTTTGTAATCAGTTAACTTGGAAAACATTTCCAAATTCAAATATTCACCAGGGTTGCTTCAGAACTGGAAAGTGAAAACAGCCTATGTTCATCCACCAAAAGAAAATAACGTTGCAATTCACTAACTGGGAGGTAACTTTCAGCCTAGTTGATGAAATGTATCTATATAAACAGGCTTAGGGTTAAGCATTAGGAAAACATTTAGTTATTCAAACTATCTATAAGCAGACAAGTGTTTAAATCTAATTTGCAAGAATGAACTTTTTTTCCCAAGTATGAGTTAGATATACGGTTTATTTGATTATTTTCTTAACAAATTAATATGGCTGCCCATCTACCTAAAGGAACTCTGGATGGTGAACAAGAATAAAAATACAATTACTAAGTACCATTAAAGCAAAACAGACAGTGCTGAGGCCCTAATAAGATTCACATCCATAGATCAAACATATCATGCCAGCTTCATTATGATCCTAATCCTAGTGCCACATCTTGATTGTTTTCCTTATGACCAATCGGATTGGGGCATCCATATCTCTCAAAGGAGGCTATTCCTTAAGGCAGACACCACGACAGAGAAAATAAAATTCCAAACTCCAACCTGGCAAGACTGTTCCATCAAGAAGACCCAGATTTAGATGGATGAACAGAAACCATTAGGGATAGGCAGTCCCACAAGTAATTTGTCCCTATGCCATATAGAACTTTAAAGGTGATAATCAGCATTTTAAATTCAACCAGAAATCCACTGGAAGCCAATGCAGCTTATGCAGCATCTGTGTTACATAGATGTTACTCCGATGCTGCTACATGTGCCATTGTATTCTGGACCAGTGAAGTTTTCAAATGCTCTTGAAAAGATAGGACATGCAGAACACATTGGAAATGGGAGGTAGCAAAGGCATAAGTGACTGTGAGCAATGATTCCAGATCTAGAAAAGGTTAAACTGGCACATAAAATATATTTGTGCACTGGCTCTCCTGGCTACAGTTGCCACCTGCTATTCAGGCTGCCACTGAGTCCAAGTGGACCGGCAATGTGTACCAACTCTGACCAGGAAAGTATAACCTTAGTCAGAATTAAAGATGGTAAATCAACAGATTTGGGGTGACCCTAAAAAACAACAGCCATTCAGCCCTGTCAAGGTTGGGCTGAAGCCAGATCTTTTCCAGCCAGACTTTTACAACATCTAGGTACTGGGAAGACACTTCCCCAGCACCACTTGGATGGTCCAGGTCACAGATGTAAAACTGAGACCCATGCTATAAAAAGTAAGAAAGATGATCTTGATGGAGATATGCATGATCTTGATGGAGATATGCACCCAGGCAATAGGGTGTGTCTGTACGAGACATATTTTAAATCTACAACAGGCAGATAGTATCTTGATATTATAGCTCAGACAGAACTCCACAAATTATTGAACTAGCAAGACATGTTGCATGATTCTGTTACTACAGCCAATTTCAAGAAAAGTAATTTTAGCCTTGCTCTGGAGTGGATTTTTTGACTTGGTCTAGCTCAGGGATAGGCAACCTTGGCTCTTTTATGACTCGTGGACTTCAACTCCCAGAATTCCTGAGCCAGCCTGGCTCAGGAATTCTGGGAGTTGAAGTCCACGAGTCATAAAAGAGCCAAGTTTGCCTACCCCTGGTCTAGCTAGTGCATTGACATATGCAATCAATTACCTCCCCCAGAGGTTTCATGAAGATGGTAAATACAAGAGAGAATTAAGCCTTGTAGCACCCCAAAAGTAGAGGACCTCTCCTCCTCACATGCCAACTGGAACCATCCTTGGAGAAAAGAGAACTAGTGAAAAAACAAGACCTCCTACTCCCAACATGTCAGCCAGTCGAGAAGGATGCCATAATTGATGGTACTGAAAACCAATGAGAGGTAAATGGATATACCATACCCATTCCAAGCCCACCAGATGTCATCCACAAGTGTGATCAATTGCATCTCAGTACTATATAGTATCCTAGCCTGAAACCAAATTGTAACAGGTCCAGATAATTTGCTTTGTCTACAGCCCTTTGAAATTGTAGACCTACCACCTTCTCAATAGTCTCTCCCAAAAAGGAACATTAGATATTGAGAAAAAATTGTCCAGTAGTAACTTCTTGAGAAGGGGCAAACCACTGTCTCCTTCAGGGCACATGGAACCATCCCCTTTTACAAAAAAAAAAAAGCATTTACTACTGATTAGCTACATGTCACCTATCTAAATGTCACCTCTCAGGATGCCTTGACCAACCAGAAGGGACAGAACCTAACATGTAGGTAACAGAATCATCAAACTAAGGACTTACTTGGAAGTAATCAAATCAAATCAAACCCAGATAACTGGACAAGCCCAAGCCAAAGTCATCTCCATAGGACCAGCACAGGCAGACACTACCTCTGAGTAGATTTTAGGCACTTTAACAGATGTTTTACATAATCTTCATAGCACGCTTGCAAAGGTTCCTATGGCCCTTTCTTATACTTATTAAAGCTTTTGATTTCACTGTTTCAGCATATATTGTTTACTTGTATTTACTTGTATAAACAACTGTGTAAAGAAGTTATCAGCAAAGATCACGATTTTTTCAAATTAAAGGATAACAAGCATGTAAGTAGCCAATGCTCATTCTTTCTCAAAGATGCAAATGAACTGCAAATTATGCTGATTACACAGCTGCAAGTGAACAACTGTAGAGCCTGTTCTTCTAGACTGCTAACATGTTGGGGAGGGCCCAGAATGGGATAAAAAAACAAAAAAAGAGTAGCAAAAGAATCTGTGGCGAGTTTAGCCAATTATAGTGTTGTGGAGGAGAGGTAAACCTTAACAAATGCTGAAAATGAAACACTGAACTTACTGTGTTTGTTTGTTTATAAAAGGATACAGAGAATCCACAGCTGCATTGTCTGTTCATTACTCTAGAAAAAGAATTTTCTTTTGCAGCCTTTAAATGGCAGTAAAGAGCAACTTTCCAGCCAATGTAAGGACTGAGAAACATACTATAACAGCTCTCCAGTATAGAATAGATACAGATGTGAAAGGCAAGTACTCTTCAGTCCCACAGAAATAATTTGCTGCTCAATTAAAAAAATCCCTAAAGAACAACATATGTTCATAAAAAGAGAAAAACAATGAAGGAGGAAAATTTCATGAAAATGCAACATTACTAATAATTTTGTTTTCCTATTGGGGATGGAAAGTACTACTTTTACTTGGGAATTACTAAAGCAGTTCCAATATGTTCTGATTTCAGCAAAGCATTTATTAAAACAGGCCATAGTATTCTGATTAGCAAATTAGTTACATGTTGGCTGGATAGAAGGACAATTAAATGAATACACTGCTGGCATGAAAGCTCACACTGGGTGTTTGTTAATTGCTATTCATTAAGAAGAACCACAATGAAAGTTAAGTGGGATGCTATAAGACTCAGGCCTTGTCCATGTATTCAACATCTATATTAGGGACTTAAATGAGGTGCTAAAGGAATGCTTGTCAAATGTGCAGATCACATAGCATTGGCTAGGATAGCTAGTGGCATAGAAGACAAAACTAACAGTCAAAATAAACTTGAGAAATTAAGGTACTGGCTGATGACAAAAGATTAAATTTTAAGAGAAAGAAGTGGAGAACAGAGATAGATGCACAGATTTAAAATTGGAGATATATGACCGGCAGCAGAGTTTGTAATAGAGGCCTTGGAGTACTAGTTGAGTACAGACTAAATATGGAAAGTACAAATAGAATCCTTTGTGGATTTGGACATGTTAATGTAGAATCTGGACAGCCAGTTTTGGGGGGTGCTTTAAACTAGACTCCTAACAAAGTAACTAAAGTAATTTTAGGATTTTAGCAAAATCCCTATTAAATCATGTAAACTAAATATTATAATAACTTATTAAATATATATGTCTCCCAACTGTCTCTGGGCTGCAGAAGTAACCGCTACATTCCAAAATTTCTCATCCCACTATAACCAATGTATAACAAGCATGAGAAAATGAATCTTGAAAAGTCTTTTGCCTCTCCTCTTTAAAGAAAAGCTTTCTGGATTGATGAAGTATAAGCATCATACGTAAGTAAGTATGCTGATGATACTCAATTTTATCACTTTACTCCTGGTGATCCAAGTGATGCTATTGCCGCCCTTCTCGCAGTGCCTAGAGCAGAGGTCCCCAACCTTTTGGGCACCAGGGATCGGTTACATGGAGAGAGGTTTTTCCATGGACCAGAGGGGGCATAGTTTTATGTGCTGCCTGCATCCTGTGGATTGGGCTTTCCTTGTTGGTTGCTGGCATGCCGCAGTTGCTGGAATGCCGCGGCCCAGTACTGGTCCAAGGACCGGAGGTTGGGACCCCTGGCCTAGAGGCTGTGGGGGCCTGGATGGGGGACGACAGTCTTCAGCTGAACCCTGGCAAGGCTGAATGGCTTTGGCTCTTCAGAGCTTCAAGATTTGGGACTTTAATTAAACTAATTATGGATAGGGTTGCAGATGAACCTGATCCGTAACTTAGGGGTTCTCCTGGACTCTCAACTCCTACTCAAAGAGGAGGTGGCAGTCATGTCTAGAATACCAAAATATCAACATCTCTGAATAAATACATTTAACAATAATATGGCATAGTGCACTGCATAATCCTGATGATAGTGCTATAGGGTTTATTTAGTTTTAGCTACTTTAATAGGCTGGTTGTTTAAAAAGTTATTTCAGACACAGGAAACTTACTTGTGCCCATTCAAAGCAGCATGATGCAACGGAGTGTATCCAGTACTGTCAACACAGTTCACATTTGGTCCTCTCCAGATACTGTAAAGCAAAAGTAAATAAATAAATAAATATTATACATTAAGACACAATGTATAGTAAGTAAACAGTACCAGACTGAGACAGATTTCCTATGAATAATACTAAAAAAGCATACTCTATAATCACAATCTAAGACACAATATTAACTTGCTGCTATCTTAAAGAAAAACAGGTGATCACAGAGATGGATTATCCCAATTGTCTAATCAGTATTTTATTACTATTTCAATGGTTATTATTTCTATGTGTGATAGCACCCTTCAGGCAATATTCAAGCGAATTGGTCCACAAGTAGCACAAGCTGCAAGGAAGCAATATATAAAACAAAAGAGAAAATAAGGGGAGCTAGATAATTTGTTTTTGTCTCTACTGTACATGTTTATTTAAATGAATCTTTCATCTTCATCTTTTCTCCAATCTGATAACACAACTAGTTACCAATGAAAATATTCATAGTCGTACTAAATGCATTTTTACAGTCAGATCAATGTATTTTGCTTAAAAATGAAAAACAATTTCATCATAAAACCAAGTCATAATACAGAAGGGCTATTTTTAAAACACTAGAAGTCAAATTAACTACCAAACCGGACACATTGATTTACATGTATTGTGTGTGAGTACAGAATTTAGCAATACTACTGGAAATGCTTAGATTAATTTCCATAATAGCAAATGGGTGTGAAATGCACTATATAGTCAAAATGTTGGTTATAATTCAAACATAGTAATATTTGGAAATCTCATATTGCTTTTGCAAATGACTTTAATTCTTTTTAAAACAAGTAACACACAAACACAATAATATTATAATATTTCATGATACTGAGTTTTCAAATCAGACTTCCTCCCTGAGAAGGTTCATTGTAGATTTGTAATAAAAATCACAAAATATCTCTGTATAAAGGATAATACAAAGAAACATAAATTACTAATTCCTATCCTGCAAATTCATGAAAGCAGATTCCTAGAGGCAAAAGAAGTGTTATGATATCTTAAAATTAATAATGCTGAAATACATTAATTCAAATTTTTGTGAAGTCCTGACAAATATTTTATCTTTTATGCTTTACTGCAGGGGCCCCCAACCCTCGGTCCATGGACTGGCACAGGGCCGCAACATGCCAGAAACTGGGCCGCGCAAACAAGCAAAGCCCCATCTGCAGGATGCAGGCAGCATGTGAAATCAGGCCCAAAACCTCTCTACACAGAATCAGTCCCTGGTGCCCCAAAGGTTAGGGGGAGTCGGTGCTTTACTAGTTTTACTATATTTTTTGTTTGTTTGATTGATTGCTGTGAATCTCTCAGAGCGTTAAGATACAAGTTTAATAAATTATTATTATAGCATTGAAATATTGCATATACAAAGGTAAAGATAACCTCAAAATGCCTACATACAAAAACAATTCAAACTAAATGAAGTCTTAATTGCATTTTATTAATGGCAGCATAAATCTATTAAAATGCTTCACCTTTCTCTTGTTTTTAGAAGTAGTGCTAATAAGTACTATTAGTACTGAGTAATAATTCTCAAATATTACCATGCTTGAATTTAAAACTAACATGAGCACAGATTATTTGCAAGTGATTATATTGCTCATTTCACACTTATTTGTTTTCTCATTATTTTATTGCAAAATAAACACTTATGTAAACTGGAAAAGCATAATTTCCTGTAAAGGCATGATGAGTTTCTAATGAGATGATGTTTAGTATTCTTATACCTTCCTTAGTCATCCATAGTAAAATAAATATCAAGTAGTGTCCACAACTGAGTTTACAAACTATAAGCTCCTTACAAGTTAACCATTCTAAACCACTAAGTCAGGGGTGTCAAACTCGCAACGTCACATGACGTGTTGCGACGTATCGCAACTTTTTTGCCATTGCCGGCAATGGGATGGGCGCAGTTTCGCTATGATGCACCCGGCCCACGGGCCGGCAGTTTGACACCCCTGCACTAAAGAAATAACTCATAGTGCCTAAGTATAAGATAATTTTTAAAATGAAGAACAGAATCAAGGACCTCTTTAAAAAGCAACTTCTCTTGCCCCCAAGGGTATTAAGGAAATATAGTTTGTTCTATAGTAGCATGACAATTTTAAGGAGAAATGACATTATAAGTACTTTAAGCTCTGAATTACAAAGTTAATTCAGATAAATTCTCATCAGCTGAATGAAGATTTAATCAGGTTTCACTACCAATTACACTGCCACACATTATGGCACAAATAGTACTTAATATTCTAGTCTTGTTTGGTATGTGTAATGTTCTAATATTAGCATTTCAATTTTTATAGGAGAAAACAAGCATTTCTGAATTCAAGATGTTTTTAGCACTATACAACAATGACACCAACATGTTAAAAACGAAATAATTAGCTCCTGGCTGAGCCACAGTATGAGAAAGATTTTTCCAAATAAATAGAGGTTGGTTTAATTATTTTTTGTTTTATATTCTTATCTGAAAGATCCAAAAATATATTTAATAATAATTTGGTACTTAATAAGGAAGTGAGGGAAGAAAAAACAAGGGAAAGGATTAAATTAAATTAATAATTTATAAGAAAACAATATGACTGGTAAAAATATTTCATGGTCGCAATTTATTGTTTGTATAGGCTTATATTGCTTAAGAAACAAAAGTCATCTTAGGAATGAAGATTTCATTTCTGTGATACAATTCTGTAACATCTGTTGGATGATACTTACAGAAGGATACATATATTATTCCTCAAAAAGCCTTCAAAAGAGTTATAACATATATGGCATATATCTATGAATGTATCTTTACTTCAAAGAAGTACACTTTCAATAATATGGAATTGTGGAATGAATACTTTTCATCTTTCAAGGGACCAACTATTTTCTAATTAAGAGTTTATGAAATTTGAGCAGTGGTAGGATTCAAATATGTGAACTTGTCCTGCTTCATTATCGCCCTCATACTGTACTAGTAACAACAAGATAGCATTTACATATCAGGGTTGATGCAGAACAGATCAGAGCTAGAAAACACACCTTGTCTTTCAGAACTCTGTTTAAAACTCGACTGCAGGGACCCAAAGAAAGAGTTCAGGGTAATTAGAGTATAGGGTTTTTTTTTCTAAAATGAATTTTTTTTTCTAGAAATTCTAAAGCAGTGTTTCCCAACCTTAACAACTTGCAGCTGGGTGGACTTCAGTTCCCAGAATTCTCCAGCCATCTTTGCTGGCTTGAGAATTCTGGGAGTTGAAGTCCAGACATCTTCAAGTTGCCAAGGTTGAGAAACACTGTTCTAAAGCCAGGAGAAATATTTTTCTGATTCTTCTACTCAAACAGAAAACTGGGGAAAATGGGGATAGAATCTTTGACATATTATGTATTGTAGGAGAGAACCATGTTAGGCTATGAGGTCAGCTCATGAAAGCTTAAGCCTTTACATAAAATGTGCTATAGTAGATGGAAAAGATGCAACCCTGATTTATTTATTGCCCTATCTAAAATCAGCTTGCTATTTCAGCTATAAAATTGCAGTATATACAACAGTTATAAAATCAGCATATGTTGATATATTCTATTTAAAATGTGTTGAATTCAGGATAACAATTTGGGATAATGTGCCTGTGCTACAGTATCAAATGTTGATCATCAATTATAACCATAAGATGTAGAAACATATTTGTCTTTCAAAAAAGTAGCATATAATGCTTTTCCCCCCAGCTCATTTGTGTTGTTCTGTTCTCTTGCAGATTTCAAAGCTAAAGTCACAAAACCAGTTTCTTATAATTCCAAAATGTGCTTTGTCTTGTTGTGTAAGCAGGACAATCACTTTCTGTCTTCTAATCTTTATCCCAATAAATGGCCTCTGTCCCTTACATCCATCTTCAAGTCCTTTAAGTTGACAGAACAGAAAGCGTTTTACCTCACTTTCTTTACACTGGACAAATGTGCAAAATTGGAATTGAATCATCCTTTTTTTTTGCATTCAAAATTGGCAATGCCATTGGAACAATCTTATATTACCAAATATGGCCTGTCCTCAAGATAAGAACTGAAATAATCCTGCGTAGAAAAACCTTCCTGTTGCAGATTTTAGTGACCATGGGGGAGGAAGGGAAATTGCTTCATGCCTAAGGCAGAACTCATGGTCTCCAGGTTTTTAGCCTGATGCTAGTTTAACCAATATAACAAACTGACTCTTAAATAGTTAACATGAGTAACCATTTATAGCTTTACCCCCATATTTATATAACATGACTCTTATTTTTCCTATGAACCACTAGTGGCCTTATCCACAAACATACCTTTTCTTTACATTCTCATTTAAACAATTTATGATTCTTGGCTACTGTCTTATTCTTCTTCACTCATTATCAATTCAAAGAGAAAAGCCTGCACTTGATTTCTCTATCAAAGAGTTATGACCATTCAATTTGTATGGTCACCCATCTCATCAAATGACTTTGGACATCCAACAACATTTAAATAATAAAAACAATTTAAAACAATACAAAAATTAAAATAAAGAGCAGTTGAGAATAATTCACTCATTATAATCACTAAATTAACCAAGAAACGTCCCTGTAAAAACTCAAAGCTCCAGGTCTGGGCACAGGGCTATTCTTTAAGGACTTAAGAAAAACCAGCAGGATAGGGGTCATCCTGATCTCTGAAGAGAGAATATTTTATAAGGTGAGTGCTATGGCAGAAAAGGAACTTAGGACTGACCACCTGGTATTACTTAGCCAACAGGATTTGAAGCAAGCTGATCCTGCCTGACCAGATCAGGTGGGAGAAACAACTGGGAAGCGACTATGTCGGTACATACACTAGAAATTGCTAGCAAAGTACAATAAGACAATATTTATGGGGCTGTTAAAAAAATAGGTAGATATAAGACAATCTGATGAGCTAGAACTTTTGAGCTTGTGAATATGTGTGCATATATATATAATGGTGACCACATGGTAATTTGGTATCTAGGAAAGACCATATTTATTTTCATGCCAAAACTTTGT